GTTGTCGTTCACGTCCAGCACCCGCAGCGCCAGCACCCTGCTGCTCTGCAGCGCCGGCCACCCGCCGTCGGACGCCCGCACCGTCACGTTGTACTCCGACTGCTGCTCCCGGTCCAGCTCTCTCGCTGTCACCACGCGGTAGTAGTCCTCGAGGGACTTCTCCAGGCGGAACGGGACATTCCCGTCGAGCGAGCAGCGCACCTCGCCGTTGGCCCCCGAGTCGTGGTCGTGCACGTGCAGCAGGGCCACCACCGTTCCTGACGGGGCGTCCTCAGAAATCTCATTTAGTGCTGACCTCACCGAAATCTCTGGCACATTGTCATTTATGTCTGTGACAGTAATCAAAACTTTGGCCATGTCGAAAAGGTCGCCATCATCGCGAGCCTGCACCTCCAGTTCGTAGAAGTTGCCTTCCTCGAAGTCAAAGCTTTGCAATAGTGTGATCTCTCCAGTCTCGGCGTCTACATGGAAAATATGTGATGCCATGTCCTTCGCTTTCTTCATCGAATATTTCACGTGCCCATTCAGCCCCTCATCAGGATCAGTGGCCGTGACGGTGACGAGGACAGAGCCCACGGGTACGTCCTCGGGCACACGCACCGTGTACTCCGCCTGGCTGAACACGGGCGCGTTGTCGTTCGCATCCCGCACCGTCACGCGGATCCGCGCCGTGCCCGTCCGGGCCGGATCACCACCGTCGATCGCCCTCAGCACCAGCTCGTGGAACGCCGCCTCCTCCCGGTCCAGCGCCTTCGCCAGCACCAGCTCGGGACGCTGATCCCCGTCGGGGCCCGTCTGCACGGCCAGCGAGAAGTGCTCGTCGCCGCTCAGCTCGTAGCTCTGCAGGGAATTCTGTCCCGAGTCCGGGTCATGAGCCTCGGCCAAGGGAAACCGCGATCCCGGCACTGTCGTCTCGCTTATCCTCTCCTCCACTTCAATTTCTTTGAAGCTGGGTGCGTTATCGTTAATGTCCATGATTTCTACTTCAATACCATATACTTGCATTTCCCCCTCCACTATCAGCTCACAGCGCAGCACGCATTTCTCCACCAGCCGGCACAGCTGCTCTCTGTCGATCCTCTCGGCCGTCACTAAATGTCCCGTCTTCCCATGCAGAGCAAAATACTGCGTCCTACCTTCAGTGACAACGCGGATGCCGCGGTCTGGAAGCGCCGGCAGCTGCAGCCCCAGGTCGTTGGCCACGTCGCCCACGAACGAGCCCTTGGGCATCTCCTCGGGCACCGAGTAGCGCAGCTGCCCCCACGCCGCCTCCCAGGCCGCCAGCAGGACGCCCCAGAGCAGGACTCGCTGCCGCCTCCCTGCCGAGCACATCGCCGCCGCCGCACCACTGCCGGCTGATCCCCGCCGCCGATCCCGCTCACACTCCGCCTTAAACCTGTCGCTCCCGTCCGCTACCGCCGGCCCCTCCGGCTCGCTATATCACAGCTCCGCACCGCCGGGATGTTCGGAAACAGATCGCTGCCCGAGCCAGGAATCCAGCGATCCAGCGATCGAGCCGGTCCGCAGCGGGCGGGGCTGCAGCGCTCCGACCTTCCTCTCGCTCCTCTCGGTCAACAGCGGCGCCCGCAGCCTCCTCCCGGCACTGCAGGCACCGAGCGCTGCCGAGAGATGCCCGCCCTGCCTCGCCCACAGGACGCTCAAGGAGACGGCACATTCGCCACGAAAACGTCGGGTCCAGTACAGCGGAGACCTGGCGTTATGTTCTTTCTACCGCACGGGAAAATACTCATGTGATTGCGATAATCTCTAGATACAAAATTCTCTTTAAATGGCGTGCAGAGTATTACGAATTGACCACTCTGCGGTAGGAAAGCTCAGAATCTTCCCTGTAACTGGAGAGCTTTTCGTATGAATCCTGGTTTAGTTTTTTTTCACTAGGTGTCATACTCGAACACCTGCAGCCAAGGTAGATTCCCAGACCCAGATGAAGTGCTCACAAGAGCCATGAAGGTCCCTCCTCAAAAGCAGCCATTCTAGAGACTGCCTTTCCCTCTTTCCCAGGCTTTCCCTATTTTCCTATTTTTCACCTTAATATCCGAGGCTGCTCTGAATCAGCCTGTTTTTCTTCCCTCCTTTGACCACTGCTTCCAAAGTTTTGATTACAGCCTTACACAACAGGCCACGTTTAGAAAACCTAGTGCTCCTTTCCTGAGCACAACCTTAGCGAGAAATACTATATTTTACTGACAAAAAATATAATAAAATATTAATAAGAGAGGCAAAACCAAACAGACCAACCAAAGAACAAAGAAAAAATACCTACACGAATTTCTTTCTTAAAGCTTATTCAGTGTCGCTGTAGAAAAGTCAGTTGAGGACTGGTAAACGAGGGAACTGCCACACATGATGAAATTCTTAATGGCAAATAATAGCAGAAAGAGAACAAATAAAATTCCGAAAAAAATGGAGACTGATTGGAGATGATAAAATCATCTCTCTATTACTGCCATGTCTGCTGCTCCCTTACACTAAAACATGGGAGGGCACAAGGTGGAAGGCATATTCGATAGGAAAGAATATTTTTCCTTCATCTAGTCATGTTTCCTTAAAACAACGAAACAATCTAAAATAAAAAAAAAAAACTTTAGCCAACAAAAAGGTCGCAGCGCATCTATTCGGCAAACAAAGATCAGGAAGGAAAAATCTAATCACCGAGACACAATCACATTCCCAACTCCACCGTGTAGAATTAGAAAATCTCTTTCTAAAAAGAAATGTGCACCTTCACCATAGTAAACCATACTCCTTCACACAATACAAGCGTTGGAGAAAAATCAGAACAAAGCTGAACAAAGAGGTGCCATTGCCACATTACTGCTCTGAGAAGAAAATGAAAGAAAGCAATACGTATAAGCAAACAAGCCCTCTACATTTTCATGCAGCCTAAGTTGAAAGACAGCCACCCCCGAACGGAGCCGGCACTTCTGACAACTCAGGAGGTAGGAAGTGCCATTTCGCAACGCCGGCTGCCTAAAACGGGGCAGAGTTACTGCCTGCCTCTATAGAAACAACCACCGGCATTAAGAAGAAAACAGCAGAAACAAAGTCCAGGAGAGAAATGTCGCCAGCACGTCGTTAGGAAAAGCACAGAGAGAAGAAGACTAACCCTTACTATTTCACACAAAACAAGGTTTGCAGAAAAACCTGAGCATATCAACAAACAGGCGCTGTCGCTAAGTTACTGCTCAACATTACTGCCTAAAATAGAGTTATTATCCGTGCCTCTAGAAACAGCGACCAGCACTAGCTGGACCAGAACAGACACAAATCTCAAGAGCCCACTGCCACCTGTACACCCTTAGAAAAAATTCAGGAAGAAAGTAGTGAAGGGGCTTACAGACCTGCGGTGCGTCGGGGTCTGTGGGCGGCTCTCCCAGGAAAGCGCTGGCGCTCGGGCTCAGCTTGTCGCAGGGCTCCCCGGCCAGAAGCTCCTCGGCGGGCAGGATGGGCAGCGGTGGCGGCGGCCAAACGGCCTCGGCGGCGGCGCGGGCCGGCGCGGCCACGCACAGGTTGTAGGAGTAGGGCAAGGTGCCCTCGCAGAAGTCGGGCGGGAAGGCGGCGCCGGCCAGCGAGAAGCGCTGCGCGCCCAGGCAGCGCAGCACGGCGGGCGGCCCGGCCCGGCGCAGCCGCGCCAGCACGGCCAGC